GGGAAAGGGAGCCGGTGGGTATGATGAGGCAGAGGTGAGGAGACGGGGACGGTCAGCGGGCGTCCCTGTGGCCGCTGCAGAGAGAGACAGGGAGAGGGTGTCACACAGCGCCCACCGGAGGGAGGCTCAGCGCATCCAGGGCGCGGATTTAATGGGCGCAAGGAAGGCAGAGTCTTGCAAACAGCATTCTTGGCGGAAACTCTCGGTGAACATGATCAGCAGGGCCCTGCTCTTGGCAGTAGGTTCTCTCGGTCGCTTCCATCCAAGGCTGCTCTGGCCCCCGAGCTGCCCACACTCGCCTCCTTAGCTCCAGCCGCTGCCACTTCGTTGAAGCTTTGTGTTCCTGCCTGGATACCCGAGTTCCCTTTGACCTGTCACCCCCAGTGAGCAGCGGATCACTTCTTTCCCATCCTTCAGCCTGAGCCCATTTGGTTTCAAGCTGAGCTGGTGGTGGTGGCAGGAGTTACTGTTGTTACGGTTTTGGCTCAGTGATCTTGGCACAGTGCATGAGTTCACACCCGGCCTCAGCGCTCCGGCCTGCATGGCTGAGCCGAATTGCTGGTGCCCGAGGGCTTTGTGGTGACTCTGGGCTGCCTTCCGAGCCCCAGAGTGGCCAGGACAGCAGAAGCCCTGCTCGGGATTTAGAGGCACAGACAACCCGGCCCCGAGCCCGCTCCCGGGATGCAGGGCTCCTGGCAGGGACGGAGCTGGCCAGGCTGCGTCTGCAGTTTCTGCTCTAAGGGCTTCTGTCTTTTTCTCTGCCCTCAGGCCCGAGGTGTCTGTGCCCAGAAGCCATTTCCTGTGGGTGGGAATTGAGGTCTGATTTGGGACTGGCGCTGAGCCCTCTGCAGTGATGCCAGTACTGTGCTGTGTTCAGGATGGGAGGGAGGATCTGCCATGCACCCCGGATCGGGCTGCTTTTTAGGGGGCCGAGGCAGTGTGACTGACATGAGAACCAGGGCGCGCAGCACAAGCCCCGGGTACGGACTCCAGGCGCTGTCCGATGAGGGAGAGGAGAGGCCAGGAGGGCCAGAGCTCTCAGGGAGGGTTCCCTGGAGCTGTCAGTGTTCGGAGTGCAGCTGATTTGGGCAGGGGAAGGGGCCAGAGGATAACTTAAACCCAGAGAAAACAGGCTGGGGGACCGACAAAGCAAAGAAATAAAAGGAATCTTAATGATCTCAGGCCTGGCCCTTAGGAAAGTGCTGCTGAGTAGGCGGTTAAGACAACTGTGTTCTCGTGCTGCCACCTGCTGGCTGTGTGGGAGTACTGCAGCAATAGTTGGGCCAGCTGCTCAAATTGAGGGTTTGGTTGTTTTATTTAATCCTACATCTGGTACTTTGTATCTGGCGGGTCCCCTTTTGATGGAGGAAACACACTGTAGCTGACTGTGTTTTGAGGGGCAGGAGTAGGGTGTAGTCGTTCTTTAAGAAGGAGGAGGAGGAGAAAGGACGCTGGTTTCTTTTTTTTTTTTTTTTTTTTTTTAAATATATTTTATTGATTTTGTACAGAGAGAAAGAGAGAGGGAGAGAGAGCCAGAAACATCAATGGGAGAGAGTCACTGATCAGCTGCTTCTTGCACACCCCCCACTGGGGATATGCCCGCAACCAAGATACATGCCCTTGACCGGAATCGAACCCGGGACCTTTCAGTCCCCAAACCGACGCTCTATCCATTGAGCCAAACCGGTCTCGGCAGGACGCTGGTTTCTATCTGCAGGCTTCAGGACAGTGGGCAGGAGATTGAGAGCCCCTGTCTTCGCATGTTGTGATTCTAGGTAAAGACAATAGATAAAGTACAGAAAGATGCATCTGTGTATGTCAGATAGGCTGGATATGGGCATCTCAACTAAGAGGCACTAGCTGGCCAGATGGCATGGAACATGCTCAGCCTTGAACATTTAAAAAATGCTGTGCATGGGTTAATTCTGGAGCTCTCTCTGGGGAGGCGTCGAAGCTGGCTAAAGCAGGGCTCCTGCTGTCATTTTTAAATATATATATATTGATTTTTTTTTTTTTACACAGAGGAAGGGAGAGGGCTAGAGAGTTAGAAACACCGATGAGAGAGAAACATCAATGAGTTGCCTCCTGCACACCCAACACTGGGGATGTGCTCACAACCAAGGTACATGCCCTTGACCAGTTAGGGCTCCTGCTGTCACTTTTGAGGTGAAGGCTACTACTACTAGGTCCTCCTTTGCTTCTTTAGGACTTGGCCTTGGAAATGAAACATCTGCATAGCTTAGCTTACGCTTCTCCATGAGACTTCCCGGCATTTCACATGTTGTTCCTTAAAGATCCCTTGGAGCCCGGCCGGCATGGTCCAGTGGTTGAGCGTCAACCTGTGAACCAGGAGGTCACAGTTCGATTCCCGGTCAGGGCACATGCCTGGGTTGTGGGCTCCATCCCCAGTGGGGGGTGTGCAGAGGCAGCCGATCAGTGAGTCTCTCTCAGCAATGATGTTTCCATCCCTCTCTCCCTCTTTCCTCCCTGGAATCAATTACACACACACACACACACACACACACACACACACACACACACACACACACATATATCTCTACCTCTCTCACTTGGAGCTGGACCTGCAATGCCAGCATTGTGGAATGGAGAACACGGTGCTACTCCCCTCTTGAAATCACTGCCTCTCCTTTTAGAGGAGACGCTCCCTCCACAGCATCCTTCTGCTGCCCCAGGTCTAAGCTGCGGGGCTGACACGTCTCCGTGAAGCAGCCTCTCTCTCCTCCCGGCCAGCAGGGCCCCGTCCCACTGGTAGCTCATCGGCAGGTTCTGAACCTGCGCCTGTCCCTGTGCAGTGTGTGGCCAGGCACAGGATCCCGAGGACTCTGGCTGCTGCTTCAGAGGGAGGATGGAGCTAACAGGCCTGACGTGCCGTGCTGTGTGCTAACCGTGCCTGGCTGCCCCCGCCCCCGCCCCGTGCTCCTCCCCACGCTGACCCTCCTCGCCCACTCTGTCTCCTCCGTGTAGATTGTAAATGGACATTAAGTGGTTGAGGGAGATGTGGCGGAGGGTGGTGTGAAGGCGTGGGAGCCCCGCCAGGTCCAAAGCCGGTTGGCCTTTTCCGACGAGGAGGAGGAAGACCTGCTGGACTTCATGTACAAGTATAAGACCCTGCGGAAGACGGAGATCCCCCTGGAGGTACACGGAGTCTGGGCCGGGGGAGCGTGTGTTTGTGCAAGGGCGTCGCCGGGAGACCTGGCTGGGCGCCCCGGAAGCCGTCTCTTGGGGCGCCCGGCACTGCCGAGCGCCTGGGGCGGGAGGCTCTCCCTCTGCCCCACGCACTGGGCAGCACCCAGTGGTTTGCCAAGGGGCAGAGAAGACCCTGGCAATTCAGTTTTCAATTGGTTTATGTTTTTAAAATAAACCTCTGTAAGTGAAAAGCAATCCAAATGAGTGTTTTGGGGGAAAGAAGAACTCAGAACATGCTATTTGACAAGGTTTTATAAACACGTTAGCTTGTTTATCACTGTATCTCCAGATTCAGCACAGAGCCTGGTACAAAGCGGATGTCCCATAAAGTGTTAGTAAAGGGACACAGCGCTTTCAAATAACCAAAAGCGATACAGTTGGTATTTGAGCTGCTGCCAGTTGTAGATGTGGATGGGCTTTGGCAGGAGGGCCAAGCTGAGAGCCTCCTGGGCCTCGCTCTGAGCCTTGGGCTCAGGTGCAGGCCTGGCAGCATTGGAGGTCCCCTGAGTCTTCCTCTCGGCCCCTCTCGTCACCTCTCCTATTCCCTGTCTGCTGGGTCTGCGGCCTGAGGATCCGTCTGAGGCCGCTGGGAGTCCCTGTCCATGAGGCCCAGAGAGGAAATGCACTGGGAGGTTCCCCTGCACACACAGCAGCCCTTGTGGGGTCCGTTCACACGGGGACTGCAGCCAGTAGCCCGCAGGGTGGGGGTCCATCAGATTCCTCTCCACGGCGGGGCAGGCGGCGGGGCCGGGCCACGTGGAAGTAGAGGTTTTAGTAAAGGAGCTCTGGGTTTGGACACCGCTCACTCGCGGAGTTCATTGGAGTCTGGGAAGCCGTGGGGAGCGTGCCAAACTTTAGGGCCCGAGGGTTTTATTTTTTAAAAGCTGCACAAGCCGCTCTGCCTTCAGCAGCCTGAGGCAGATCGCTGAACCGGTCACTGTGTTCTCGCTGCTGTAAGGTGCGCGGTCCTGACCCCAGTGCCCACTGGGCACAGAACAGCTCTGGGGACCTGACAGGACCTGCCCTCGGAGGTGGTGGTGGGGGATAGAGGGGGAAACTGAGCGAGCACACCTGCCCAGGTGCAGAGCCCCCTTGTCCTCTCGTGGGAGCCACTGTGAGAACAAAGGGAGTGACGGTCCTGGTGGTGTGATGGGCCTGGGGAGGGGTTCAGGAGTGACCTTTGGGGCTGGGTCGTACAGGGGACCAGAAATAGCAGGAGGGAGGGGGGGGGAGGGGGAGGGGAGCGGGAGAAGGAAGGGGAGGCGGGGGATGGGGAGAGGGCTTCTGGTGGAAGTGGAGCTGCGAAGGACAGTGTCTGCAGATAAAGGTGAGCGCAGGGCAGGCAGGCAGACGGGCGGAGTGAATCCCTCAAGTGCTAGGCTGAGAGAAAACTCTACATTTAAAGACAGTGTTTCCCTCTGCTGTGTGGTTTGCCATGAATTACAGGATTTCCCACCCAAAGGGGACCGGAAACCTGGTGGTGGGAACGTTGAGCCCGCACTGAGAAACGTGGCTCCAGAGGAAATGACAAAGCGGGCAGGATGGGAGCGGCTCTCTCTGCTGAGTCACTCCCGAGGCAGAAACCCGACAGATGCCTCATCCTTCGCTCAGGAGAGCAGGGGCTCGGGAGAGCACGAGGGGGCCGCCTGGCCTTCCCGGGGGCGCAGCTGGGAGGGGCCTTGGTCCTGCTTTGAGCCCCGGCCCAGCCTGGGCCCCGGGACTCTGTCTCCCACAGCCCGGCCCGGCGCCCGTTCACGCTCAGTGAGAGCTGCCTCTGTCTGCTTCCTCGCCAGGCACCGCCTAGACTCCTCCGCTCTCGCTTCAGGAAGAAAAGTACCTCATCCTCAGCCACTGAAACCACATGAGTGAGATGAGCCAACAGCACCGGACACACCGAACGTTCCTTCTCTGCCTTAAGAGCTACCCACTGACAACACGGCGTCTGCGAGCTGGTGTGCTGTGTGCGGCCTCACAGACATGGCCTTTTCTCCCTCCCCTTTTAGGATAGTTTCCTCCTTTTCTTTGTGTTGCTGGGAAAGGCTACAGGGAAGGTAGTGTTTGGGGGTGGCGGCGTGTGACCCTAAGTCTTCGGAGGTTCGTGATTTTCCACAATCGGGTTGTCATTGCAGACAGCAGTGTTTATGGAGTCACGAGGGCACCCCCCACTGCTGAGATGTACATTTGTAATTTATTTGTTGCATACTTCCTTTCCAGTCCTGTAAATGCAAACAAAGCCATTTTTTTAAAACTGTTTTTTGTTCTCGGTACTAATACTTTGGACTGCAGTGTACATATGTATGGCTTTTGGCTTCACATGAGGGACTTGCAAGGGCTGCCAGAGGGTCTGATAAAACAGAAGTTTAAAACCTGTTTCTGACTCTAGAGCACATCTTAGATTGTGCTTAGAAAGCTTCCAGATAAACTCCGGTCCAGGTCCCTGTCCCCGCGGAGGCCGGTCCCTGCGCTCAGACGGCGGTTCTGTCCGAAGGTCAGGGAGCGGGGAGTGGGGAGTCCGGGCCAGGGCCCACAGCCCGGTGAGGAGTCCCAGGAAGCCCCTCTTCCCGGGGCTCAGGGGGAGGAGCTTCCGCATCCTTTGGGGGAAGGGAGAAGATGGTGGCTCACCCGTGGGAACAATCCTTCGGATGTGGACTCAGTGCCATGGTGAGGAACCATTGTGAATGTCTCAGCACTTCCTGCTGAAGCCTCTTCCTCCGCCAGAGTAATGCGCTGTGCCCAGCCTCCCTGGGCAGAGGGGCTTACGCTCTGAGCGCCTCCTTCCAGAGAAATCAGCAGAAACACCCACCTGCCAAACAATGCAACACGGAACCCTGCTTCCAGGCATGTGCTGAGACCCCGAGGCGCCCGTGTCACAGCCAGATGCCGGGTTCTGGGAGGGCGGGAGAGGCCGAGACCTTTAGGATGTGACTTGCTGCTCAGCCCCTTCCACCTGCTCCCCTCCTGGCCTGTGCAGGGTGAACGACAGGGAAGTCGCAGGCTCCTGGGCAGGCCAGGTCTCAGTGGGCATTTCCTACAGGCCCAGATGGCTTAGGGGAACAGCACACCACCCAGGGGGGCGGCTCCCTGCTTAGGAACTTTGTTAGGAAAGACGGATCTGGATTAAGTAGTATTTTGGCCCGAGGTAGCTGCTCTCCCCTCAGAGCTGAACCTAAAGGCGGGTGGGTGTGTTGTGCGTGGAGCTGGTGTTCTCTCTCGGTGTAATGCATGCAGTGGTCCCACCCCTGTTATTTACAGCACTTGGATTGTGTTTGTCTGTAGATGTGCCCTGAAGACTAGACAGGTTAGTGTTACCCACCACACAGAACTTCCCGCAGCCAGCTGTCAGCGCCCCAGACAGAGGCTGTTCTGCTCATCCCCGAGCCGAGCCCTGGGCTGGTGGGACAGCATCGGCGGGCTTCCCCGTGACACACTGGCAGCATCCCCGCCCTTAGCGGCTTCTACTTGAAGTTCACTGTTACCAGACACGCATATTAAAATCCCTTTCCCCCATCATCACTCTGAGGGTGACTTTGTAATTTACAAAAAGGATTTAGGAAAATAAACCTAAAAACAAATTTGTAATTCAGACGACACACGGAAGCTGTCTGTTCACTGTCTGTGCCTCACACCCACTCGGACCTGCTTAGGGAAGACGGAAAGTCTGTTTCCTCCTCACTGAGTAGCTGCAGACACAGGAGACATGTACGCTTCGGTCCGTATCTGTTAGCTGGGAGCGCCCAGGATCATCAGAAACGAGTGCGTAGAAAGCTTCACGTAAGCAGCTTTCCCCCTCTTCCCCCCTTCCCCAAATAATGCCTGTAGCAGCAGAGGTTAGAATTCCAATGTGAGCAAGCTAGATTTTCATTATTTTGCGATGGACAGTTTTAACAAGGACAGACTGTCAAGTTTGCACTTACCTATGCCAAACACGAATTCCAAGCGCTCTCCTCTCAGACATGCTGTATTACTTCTCACTCAAGATTCAAAGATACAAAGCTACCCAAACTGCTGTCTTAATGTAAATGTAACTCCTTTTCCTTCCTGTGTTGATTAGAGAGTTGGTTTCTCTCTTAGAAACACTCATTGTACAACTGAGACTGTCATTTCTGGCAAAACGTGTTTACTTCTCCGGCCAGTTGTTCCGTTGGCGTGTGGGCTGACATAAAATGTGAACGCCTCAAAGTGTGTACTTGTGGTGACCCGGTGTTTTGTCTCGAGGACATAACGAAACGTTTTTCATTTGCTGGTATAGACACAGCTGTTTACAAAATGCTGGCTCGGAAGTCTGTCCCTGTCATTGTCATGTAATAGCTTTTGGTTACTTGCCACCGAACACCTGGTCTGTTTCTGAGGAGTGGTGGGTGTTTAGTCCTAACCCCTCCCGGCCGTGTGAACAGCCTGCTCGTCTCGCTGGATCTGAGTGTGTGTTCCCCGCAGAAGCTGTCCGTGTTTGTGGTGACAGTGCTTGTCCACGTGACCGCGTCCGCACCTTCCTCGTTCTTCCCCTCGTGCAGTATTTGAACCAGTGAAGGGCGAGCTTCGTGCTCACAGCTGCCGTGTCGGCCCGTGACTGTGCGTGTCCCCCCCCACACCCCCCCGTTAGTCCTGTAGACTCTAGAGAACGCTCTGTAATAAAACAGCAAACGGGACTGCGCGTCAAGGGGCATAAAGCCCCAGGATTCCCAAGGCTGATGTTCTGCTGTTTTGTTATGCTTGGTATATACCTTGAATAAAGTCTTAACAGTTTTCTTTTAAAAAACACCTTTGTACTGTCGGGCTTATGAGGAAAGAGAAAATGCTTGTAATAAAAACGTGAAAGAAATCAAACATGGGAGGTAGCAGGGACTAGAAGCTGAGCACTCACCACGAACAGGTGTGCGCCTGGGGACCTGGCCTGAACCCATGACCAGGACTGCCGCGAGGAACACATTCAACGACACCAGAGTTGGGAAAACCAGGTGGTCACATGAATAAATCTGGTAGCTTGTTTGCTGTACGTTTTTAAAGGACGCCATGGAAACTGGGTAGCTCTGAAGCTAGGGTACCAGTTCAGCTGGAAGGCCTGTCGTTTTTCCTTTGGAACCGGTGTCCTCACTCGCAGGCCGGAGGGCGGTGCGTGGGGAGGCGGCTGGGGGTGCGCACCACTGCAGCCCTGGCCTTTAACACACAGCCTGGCCCCCGCACTTCCCTGGGCGGTCGCAAAGACAGGGAAACAACGTGTGAAATGTCAGAATGAACACCTGCTTTGCTTTCAGTCTTACGCCGCACACGGCTGGCATGGGAACCGTGAAGCGTGGCGGCAGGAAGGCAGCGTGAGAGGCCCAGGAGGAAGAGGAAGAGGTGGACGGGCTGAAAACCACGTCCTCGTTTACTGAGCCACGTCCAGGTTAAGAAGTGACAGAAACTTAAGAACTGACTCGGTGCGCCGAAACCGGTTTGGCTCAGTGGTAGAGCGTCGGTCTGCGGACTGAAAGGTCCCAGGTTCGATTCCGGTCAAGGGCATGTACCTTGGTTGCGGGCACCTCCCCGGTAGGGGGTGTGCAAGAGGCAGCTGGTCGATGTTTCTCTCTCATCGACGTTTCTAGCTCTCTATCTCTCTCCCTTCCTCCTCTCTGTAAAATATCAATAAAATATATTAAAAAAAAAAAAAAAAAAGAACTGACTCGGTGCAGTGTCATGAAGTAGCTAGTATTTACAATGCTAGATTATAGTAATTAGGTATTCATTTTCATTTAGGTACTAATTTTCATGTTGTTAGAAGACTCAGGAAAATACACAGGATTCCAAGGAGTTAGGCCTGGATTCTGAGTGACTTATTAGTTGTGTTTTGGCTTACTTATTAACTTTCTATAAGATTCAGTGTCCTCAAATCTAAACTAGGGGTAAATAACTCCTTGCAAGGCTGGTATGAGGATTAGCAGCGTTGTAGATGCTCGCCCATCCCTACCCCACAAAACAAAAGCTACATACAGGACAGTCCCTTCCCCAGAAGCGTTCACTGCCCGCCCTCCCCTTCCAGTCCTCTGGACGCCCAGGCCTGCTTCCGTCCTTGTCTCTCCCGCCCAAGCCCAGAGGAGAAACCAAAGTGCTCTAGGCCACAGGCACCCCAGCCGCCTCCACACGCACCGCCCTCCGGCCTGCGAGTGAGGACACAGGTTCCAAAGGAAAACAACAGGCCTTCCAGCTGAACTGGTACCCTAGTTTCAGAGCTACCCAGTTTCCATGGAGACCTTTAAACATGTAAAGCAAACAGGCTACCAGATTTATTCATGTGATCACCTGGTTTTCAAAACACCCTGTCCACATCTGCACTCGAGAAGTCAAGGAGGCAGAGGCTGGTGAAAGACTCTCTCTGAAGCCCCTTCGGGCACGGCCTCCCCCTACCCCCGCAGGCAGGAGCCAGAGGCGGGGATGCTGGGAAGCCTTGTCAGGGTGGATTTCTGAGGGAATGAAAGCCCATCAAAGCAGAATGCCATTCCATGCGCCAGTCTCTTACCTCACCTAGGCTCAAACGTCTGTTCTTTATTACTTAATCCCATACACAGACGCACGTGGCCGTCCAGTTTTAGAACTCAATTGTCACCTCTTTTCCTTTTAACGAACACACACACAATTTCAAAGAATGCCTCTACTGATCCTAGCATGACATGTCACAGGATTTCAATTTGGTTATCTTTCCCCTTAGTAACTATAGAGGACCTTTGTCTTATAATCAGCTACTAAAGGATTTGAAACAGTAAATAATGGTTTGTCAATCAGGCAAAGTGCTATTGTTTGAAAATACTTTCCCCAAAAAAGAAAATTCTTTCCAGATGATTCTGATGGGCGAGCTGAGAACCACTGCCCAGACCTGACTGGGTCAACTTCTTACCTGACCCTCTTCAAATGAGAAAAGCTTAACGCCTGCATCATCTCTAAAAGGACTGAGAAGGCTCCTTCCCCTTAGTCTTACAATGTACCTTTGGGAAAAGTTTATCCTCAAATTAAAAATATGAAGTCTCAAGTGGATAAACTAACTTTTAAAAAACACAGTATCTTTCAACTTGTGAGTAAAAAGTGTCGATCTTCATTTGTACAGCACTTCTGTTTCATGAATGGGCATACTGATAGGCTATTTCATTTGCTCTTCTCTATAAAAAATACTGCCCCAATAAACTACGTGAGATCGCTGTGAATAGTGAACCCAGCATATTAGCTGTTACCTCCCATGCTCGCCTCTGAGTGAGACTGCCCTCGTGATTACTTTGTGTTCCACATGAATTACTAACGCAGCCAAGTGAGCCAGGGTGGGCTCCTGGCCTAAGAACAGCCAATCCCTGCACTGTTTGCGACTGGAGATGAGACCTGGTGGTAAAAGATAAGCTGGCCAGTTAAGAGCTCTTGGCAATTAGAGACAGGACCTGAGGGTCAAGATGTAGAAAGGAAGCAGAAACTAAGAGTAAGCAAAAGCTGTGACTGACAAGTTGGCGAGTAGAGAGAGAAGGGAGTCTACAATCTATAAAGAACTGAAACATAAAAGACCCCAAGCCTAAGGATCCACCCTTCCCTGCTGCTCAGCTCCTGGAGGTGCCTCCAATCCAGCTCCCCACACCCATGAGTGCTCTTCCCGAGGCTGGAAGTGGGTTTAGTTCTGGGTGAGAGATGGAGGTGGGGTTGGTTCCCGAGTTCCCAGGCATGTGTCCTTGAAAATGAGGTCACACTGCTTGAACTCTCTTTTTAGCTTTAGAGTCTTTTTATGTCCGTCCTAACCTGAGATTTTTTTGTAACAAAATAAGCCCAATTGGAACTAGTTAAGCCATTACCATTTGTTAAAAGTAACCAATAATTTTAAACTTTTATTTCCCTGAACAGAGCTGGGAATGTTTAAGCCATTACTTTTTAAAACTGATAAGTTTAATGTTGGTACTTCGTTTCCATATCTGTTAGTGCATCAACTCTTACATTCATTTTTGCAAAGACATCATGTACCCAGAGATGCACATCCAGTAACAGGGGAGTCACAGCGCTTCCGGCTACACTTTCAGGTTTGTGCGGTCATGGTACTTCTGGTAAGGATCGTCAGCGTACCAGTTTCGCCTCTTCCAGAACGACGTCGTCATTTTATCTAAGAGTTTACTCTGGGTTTTATTGCAGAACACAAATTCCCTCAGGCGCTTTTTCCTTGCAGCCGTCTTCTTCCATAATTTTTTCTTATAACCAGCCTGTGAGATGATATTACAAGGACATTTAAAATGAATTAGCTTTATTACTCATGGTTTATGGGCCCAATGGTAACACAGACCGACTTTCATTGGGGCTGGTATGTTTCTCAGAAAGATGTGATTCTCAATGGGGGTTGGATAGAGAAAGCATGTGTAGTTCGAAAAAGAAATATTAATAGAAAATAAAGTTAAATGAATCTATGTGCCTGGTGAAGTACAGGGTAATGATAGATAGCTTATTTTATATGCATTACTTTATCTCTAACAATCTTCAACAACATACCATTATTCTCATTTTACAAATTAAAGAGAAATAGCTACTGATTAGAAAAGTTATGTAGCAGACTGAAGTCAGAGTTCTTAGGCATACACTACTTTTATTCCTAAAGTGGAGGAGCATGAAGGGTGTGCCAGCTAGGTTGATAACATTTATGTTCTTTTAAGGGGCCAAGTATTATAAGGGCCAAGAAGCACAATTCTCAAATATATTTATTCTTTCCACACACTAGGGACCAAATTCTGTAGTAAATACTTTTGTAAGGAATAATGAATTCAGTAAAACTATTACTAGGAGTGGTGAAGGAATGGTTAGCCCATGTTTAACCCAGAACTGTTATAAATGTATTATTTATTTTGAAGAATTAATTTCTGAAGAAACAGAAAATTAGGCCGCATATAAAAACCATAATCATAGCCTGTTTAAACTAGAAGAGACCATAGGCCACCACGGTTAATGTCTGACTAAACCCAAGAGTAATGTACAGGGGAGGGGAGATGAGAACCCATGCTATGTGTAAGAGTCCTTGGGTCCTTTTAAGCGAGCGCTACTAACTGAACAAAACCGTAGCTCTTTGCTAAGAAGTTGCCTTGGGTTCTGACAAGTCTCCGTGTCACCACTGTGACCAGCAAGTTCCATAGTACAGTGATGATCAGAAAGCAGTTAAGATGCCTGGCCGGTGTGGCTCAGTGGTTGAGCATCAACCTATGAACCAGGAGGTCACGGCTCAATTCCTGGTCAGGGCATATGCCTGGGTTGTGTGTTGATACCAGTAGGGGGTGTTCAGAACCCATCAATGATTCTCTCTCATGGATGTTTCTATTTTCTCTCTCTCTCTCTCTCTCTCTCTCTCTCTCTCTCTGAAATCAATAAAAATACATTTAAAAAAAGAAATAAAAGATTAGTTAAGAGTTCTGGTTTTAAAATGCCAGAGATTAGGTTTTACTACTCATTGATTACAACTTAAAATTGAAAGATTCAAATCAAAATCCTCATATTTGTATAAAAATTTTGTAGTTTGCAAGCCAAACTGGGTCCCTGTGGATCTCTGACTTACAACTAATTTGCTGTCCTAGCCATCACCTCCAGTATCATTCGAAGATTATTCTGTGGAATGCAACCAAGTGAAAACACTTGAAACATTAAGCAACCTCTAGGTTCAGAAATGGAAGGAGAGAATAAACAACAAAAATTAGGATACTGGATGGAACTGTCCCACAGAAAATACTTCATTTTTTTACACGTTAGTGTCTATTAATCTGACCAGATTTGTCCTCTTAAAATTACATTTTGCTGAAACAGGCCATTCTGCATATGGAATACTTCTGGGGCCCTGAGTGGGGACTAGAAGTTATGACTGGGGAATTTGATCAGGTCCCCCATGACAACATGGTCTCAGGTCCCAATAAAAGGGGTATGGGGAGGCAAAGAAAACCACCCATTTCATTTGATTAGGGAGTTAGAAACATCAATGAGAGAGAGTCATCGATCAGCTGCCTCTTGCACACCTCCTATGGGAATATGCCCGCAACCAAGGTACATGCCCTTGACCGGAATCGAACCCGGGGCCTTTCAGTCCCCAAGCTGATGCTCTATCCATTGAGCCAAACTGGTCCCGGCTTTATTGATTTTTTTATAGAGAGGAAGAGAGAGGGATAGAGAATCAGAAACATCGATGAGAGAGAATCATTGATCAGCTGCCTCTTGCACACCCCCTACTAGCGATGTGCCCGCAACTAAGGTGCATGCCCTTGACCGGAATCAAACCTGGGACCTTTCAGTCTGCAGGCTGAAGCTCTATCCATTGAGCCAAACTGGTTTTGGCTTAGGGAAGCAAATTTTTATCTTTAAAGAATCACTGGTTAACTTCCAAATAATAAAAGGAAGTTAGGATTTGAATAGTTATCAAAACTCAAAGGTGGTTTTACAAAACTCTGGTAGTCCGCTGGTTTCTAACGATCAGTTACTGTTTCCATGAATAAGAACATCAACAAAAAAGCCCTTGTCACGCTCACACACACTGTGGGGAGGACAGGCAGTAACACTTTGTCAGGCTCCTTCGAGGCTGTGGTCTGTGGCCAGAGCAAGACCCAGAGTTCTGACTGATATGGTCCTCAATCACACTCACCAACAGAAACACATATATAGTTAAAAAAAATAAAGTGTATGTGGGGTTAATGTTCTGCCCTAAAGATCAAGCCTGGAAAACCCAATTCAAGGTGGGCTGATGGGCTGAAAGCTCCTCAGTCCCCAAATCTGAGCCACGTGAGTCAGTCCTGCTGCAGCCTCCTCTGATAGAACTCTCTAGGGTTACACAGAGCCTCCCCACAGAGGAACCCCTAGGTAGGACCTGAGACGAACCTGTCCTACACCGAAGACTTTCACCACTGTGAATGATGCTTATGAACGTTTAAACGTGTTTCCTTCACATGGATTCACTTACACGAAGTGATGCCTGCCAAGCCAGTGCTTAAGCACAGCCCTGCAACAGTGATTGGTAAGGTGGGAGATTTTATGTCAATGAATAGGCTGAACTGGGCTTCATTTTAATCTGCTCACACTTCTTTTTCAATCAAATAACAGTCCAAGACCCACCTTCCTCCTCAGCCAAAGGCCAGAATGAAGCCGGAGAAACCGGTAGATGACAGCTTTCACAGTCTTCCTCTTGCCCTTGCGCCCACTGTAGTACGTCACAGTTCTGGCCGGTGGCTTCAGGGCACTGGGAAGCAGGGGGGCCACTCTAAAACATATTTTAAAATTTTAACTCAGCAGTAAGAATGATTAAGTGATAAAATCCATTTCTACGCATAGAAATAAGTAAAGTGGTTCCACCGGAACACAGCTGACTTTTAGTATCCATTGTTTCTTCCAAAGGTCCAAGAACGTATGCATAAATAAGAACAGCAACTATCACCAACTTGCATGTCAGACTGTCATCTACCCTCTCGATTCCTAGGAGAGAACTGATTCTATTATATTTCAATCACCTGATTTCTAATCCACCTGCCCCCTAGATTATCACCTCCTAAGGATTTCAAGGGTTTGTTTATCTTTGTACACTTTCTGCCAAGTGCAGCACTAGGCAGCCAGGTGTGCTTAACCGAATGTTTGCAGACTGAATGAACACCACATGCAGCCCAACCTGGTAAGCTGGGCACCCGCTCACCCTCCCCTCGCTGACAGCTTCCAGCCAGGAACCACACCTAGAACACTAGATTAGACGTGTGCTATCTGATAGTCCCTGCTGCGGGCACACAGGCACGTGGGTGTCAATCCTATTCTCCCACTCCATCAAGCAGTCAATACAACAAACTGCAGGCAGGTACACCAGAGTATCATCTATTTCTAAGATGTCTTTGCAGGCATGAATATTTTAGAATTGTTGTCCAAAGAACTGTGTATACTGAAATATGCCATACCTACTGAGGATTGTTCCAGTATGCCCCCAGGCCAGGTTTCTGACAGATGTCATAAGTCTGGGCGCAGAGGAAACAACTGGAGTCTGAATATGACAAAGATGTCGGGTGGACAGTGCAGAACTAAGACGGGCATTCTTGGCACAGTTTCGATAGGCTGAAGACGCCAAAACATTCAGTGGTCGTAAGATTCCTGTAAAGATAGAAAACCACACATGCTTAATATGACACAAAATATGAATCTAGATATTTAAAATTAAGTAATATGAAATTTAAAATTTTTAAAAAAATATATTTTATTGAGCCGAAACCGGTTTGCTCAGTGGTAGAGCGTCGATCTGCGGACTGAGGGGTCCCGGGTTCGATTCCGGTCAGGGGCATGTACGTTGGTTGTGGGCACATCCTCAGTGGGGGGTGTGCACGAGGCAGCTGGTCGATGTTTCTCTCTCATCGATGTTTCTAGCTCTCTATCTCTCTCCCTTCCTCTCTGTAAAAAATCAATAAAATATATTTAAAAATAAATAAATAAATAAATATATTTTATTGATTTTACACAGAGAGGAATTGAGAGGGACAGAGAGTTAGAAGCATTGATGAGAGAGAAACATCGACCAGCCGCCTCTTGCACACCCCCCACAGGGGATGTGCCCGCAACCAAGGTACATGCCCTTGACCGGAATCGAACCCAGGACCTTTTAGTCCGCAGGCCGACGCTCTATCCACTGAGCCAAACCGGTCCCGGCTAAAATTAAGTAATACGAAATTTTTGAAACAACTAAGTGTTATACATTATCAATATGTTCTAAAGATTAGATTCACCTGTGGAGCTTTTTACCAACTTTATTAAGGTAAACTTACACACCAAAAAAATTACCCATTTGTGTGCAACTTAATGCTTTTTAGTAGATTTAAAGTTGTGCAATCATCAGGATTCAGTCTTATGTGTCCTAGTTCTATGTTCAACAGTACAAAACAAAATATACATAACATGAATTCCCACCCGCCAGATCTTACGCTCTGATGAGATAGAACCCTGCACAGAGGGCAATGGCAGGGCAGACACGAAAGTGGGACAACTGGCAGGAGAAGGACGCACAGAAAACAGAAGAGGTACATGAACTCTCATCTAGAAAATGAACAGGCCATGAGAGAAAGAGGTACACAATCCAGGTAGGATAGAAAACATGCAAAAACAAGGCTGAAACAGATATGAGCCTGGAGTGGGGACTGGACCTGCCACAGAAGCTGAGCACTGAGTGCCTGACTGTGTTGGAAATGGCAGGGGGAAGTAGTGGGAAATAGGGCAGACAGGCCAGAAGGCAGATCATGAAGGGCCTAGATGTGTGGAGGCTCCTTTATCTGGGAGGCAACCAATCCATGTGCCTCTCTCACATCCATGTTTCCCTGTCTCACCGTCTCTCACCCTCCCTTCCGCTCTCTTGCCAAAAATCAATGGGAAAAATATCCTCTGGCGAGGATAAACAAAAAACAAACAAAAAATTTAAAAATAAGCTGTCACATCACTTTTAAGTGTTTCCAATGGAATCTACGCAGTGAGCTGATACCTATGTCATCTATGTCAAAAACACAAGGACGATAAATTCAAGTTGATGACAATAAGGATTTCTTTTCATCAAAAGATACTTTAAATAAACTAAAAAGGCAAGCCAAAGTGGGAAAAGATATTGGAAAACACAAATAAAGGGGAAAGTTCGCATATCTAGAATATATAAAGAACTATAAGTCAATAAGACAACTGAATAGAAAAATAGGCAACATATTTAAGTGGGTACTCATAAAAGAAATTTAAATGGCCAATACATATAGTTTAAAGATATTCAGGCTCATTACTAATCAGGTAAACGCTATTTAAACCACAATAAGATATCACTAAATATATACCAGATTGACAAAAATTTCGAGGTCTAACAATACTAATTGTTGATGAGGATGTAAAGAATACAATGCTGGCCGAAACCGGTTTGGCTCAGTGGATAGAGCGTCGGCCTGCGGACTGAAGGGGCCCAGGTTCAATTCCCGTCAAGGGCATGTACCTTGGTTATGGGCACATCCCCAGTAGGGGGTGTGCAAGAGAAGAGGCAGCTGATCGATGATTCTCTCTCATTGATGTTTCTAACTCTCTATCCCTCTCTCTTCCTCTGTAAAAAATCAATAAATAATAAACACACACACACACACACACACACACACGGAAGGATTTAAAAAAAAAAAGAATACAATGCTGGGGTGACTTTAAATAAGCACATCACTGGCCGTATGAATATATATGTATACACATACATTGATGCTGTGATTCTACTAGTTTTATATGTTCACACAGACACCTTAGAGAAACTCTGGCACTCATATAGCAGGACACAAGGTTAATCAGCTTTGTACCTAACTGTCCCAAACTGAAAACACCCAAATACCTATCAATAGTAAAATGGAGAATTATGGGGTAGTCACATAAGAGACTATTATTTAGCAGCAATCAGCATGGACCAGAAGGTCACAGTTGGATTCCAGTCAGGGCACATGCACAAGTTGTGGGCTCCATCCCCAGTAGGGGGCATGCAGGAGTCAACAGATCCATGATTCTCATCATTGATGTTTCTATCTCTCCCCCTCTCTCTTCCTCTCTGAAATAAACTATATTAAAAGATGCACAAATTGATGCTGAAACTATTACAAAAAAAAGATAAGACAATAATAATGAGAATAGTGTTTATATTTGACAGGACTTTGACTGAAAAGGCTCACAGGAGTGCAGAAGAGGCTCTTGCTTTCAGTTTTCCGATGTTCGCTTTAGAGCTGCAGGCATTCCTTGCACACTGTGGGCTCCATTACCGACCACCACAATAAAGCAAACACCACAATAAAGAAAGTCACACGAATTTTTTTGATTTCTCAGTGCATATAAAAGTTATGTTGATTATACTATAGTCTATTAAGTGTGCAATAGCATTGGTGTCTTAAAAACATATACATATGTTAATTAAAAAATATTTTATTGTGAAAAAATACTAACCATCATCTGTGCCTGTTAGAAAAATGGAGTTAATAGACTTGCTCCACACAGAATTACCACAAATCTTTACCAAAAAAAAAAAGCGCCCAGCTGGCTTGTATTTGAATATCTACTATGAACTGGGAGGTCACAGTTTGATTTCGGGTTAGGGCACATGCCCAGGTTGCAGGCTGGATCCCCAGTAGGAGCGTGCAGGAGGTGACCAGTCATCTCTCAACATTGATATTTCTACCTCCCTCTCCCTCACTCTCTGAAATAAATAAATAAATAAATAAATAAATAAATAAATAAATAAATAGCAATATCTACAAAGTGCAACAAAACCAGGCAGACCTGTATTTAGGCCACTCATGTATGTCACATAATTTTTTTTGTTGTTTCACAAATTAAAAATAACCCATGTAAACAAACTCTTACATGAGTTGGAAATTTTACATCGTAGCTTTTTAAAATTACTTATTTTTATTGATTTTAGAGAGGGAGAGGGAATCACTGATCGGCAGCCTCCTGCACACTCCACACCTGGATGGAGCCCACGAGCCCCAAATCCCACAACCGGGCACGTACTCTGACCTGCATGGAACCGTGACCTCCTGGTTCATACATAGGTCGATGCTCAACCACTGAGCCACGCCAAGCAGGCATCTTTCTTATTTCTATTCTTCCACAGAATTTTACTCTAATTTATTTTTTGTGAAAGTAATTTACTGTAATCTTACCATATTTAACTTTTTGCAAAAGTCCTTATGCAACTAAATTAAGTTGCTTTCATTCCTGTCATCTCCCTCATTCTAGAGATCCTTGAGCCTGTCCTTGCGCCGTGTCTGCGTGAAGGACACAGCCCCATTCCCCGCACGTCTGTGCCCCTTCCACACACACCCATTCCTGAGCCCGCCACCAAGCAGGCGCTGCGCGTGCAGGAGCTCCTCATTATCCCCCCTTCACAAAGCTCCGAGAAATCAGACAACTGGCAAGGTCAAAGGCCGCGAGAGCCCCCCTTTCCCTCCGTCCTCTGGTTTGTTTTCTAAGGAAGGCGGAATGGCAGGAGTCCGTAAGGAAGTCAACTTAGGGACACGCAGGGACGAGAGGGTCCAAGAGTTTCGGACAACCCTCTGGTTTCAAATAACGAGACACCTTCCCCCCGCTTGTTCCTGTTAACTCCCACGTAACCACCCACTCCATCCAGCGCAGCCCCCTTCTGTGAGGGCAAGAATCGAGAGCGTTCCTTTCCCACTGACCTGACGCTACTCTCACCGCGCCTGCTAGAACGGGAGCCGCCATCTTGCCACACCGCCCTACGGCGGCCGCACTGGGTCTAAGAATCAGGGCGAAAGGGCGTTAAGGAAAACGAGGTGGAGTCAAGGAAGGAGGGAAAAAATGAAAGGGCCAGATCAACTTTTATTGAATGTCTTGTACTTGTCAGGCTGTCCTTCATCGTAGGCTCTTAATACATTTTTACTGAGCATTTGATTGAAAAATCTATTTAAAATACAGAACATAGCCCAGCCGATGTGGCTCAGTAGTTGAGCGTGGACCCATGCATGGGAGGTCACCGGCCTCCCTCTCCTCTTCCTCCCTCTGGGAGGCGTGAAGGAGGCAGCTGATCCATGTTTCTCTCTAATCGATGTTTCTCTCTCTCTTTCTGTAAAAATAAATTTAAAATATTAAAAAAATACATGATTATTTGCTATGATTGCACTTATATGTGGAATCAAAAGAACAAAATAAACTGATGAATAAAATAGATCCAGAGACATAGAAGGATGGAACAGACTGTGGAATCTTAGAGGGAGGGCAGGGGTGGGGGCGGGGGTAAAGAAGGAATTAACCAAAGAACTTATATGCATATCCGCATAACCCATGGACACAGATGGTGAAGAGGGGGGCAGTGGGTGCAGGCTAGATGGGGTTAATGGGAGGAATAGGGGGACATCTGTAATACTTTCAGCAATAAAGATGAAAAGAAATAAAATACATGACACTTGAAACAATCTTTTTTTATAGTTTTATTAAGTTTGAGAGAATAAAATTATTATCCTTACAAAACTGGGAGATAGGAAATAGCAATATTATTTAAAATTATTTTTAAGAATTTAAAATTAGTTTTAAAAATTGAATGCCAACTACAATCAAATAAATGTATATATTTGAAGGATATCTCACATACATTTTTTTTCTAATTAATTACACTGATTGTCATTAGGTAGAACAGCATTTTAACTTACTGAACAATTCTACAGTTCCTGAGCAGTGCTTTATTTCATTCCTGAAAATCAGTGATTGTATGTCTTTTCTAATGTTTGTTCAAACAAGCAAAAAAATGAACCCCTCTCCCATTCTTGTTGCCTAAGATAGTCCATGCACATACAATATATTACACTATTAGGATAAGGGTTAAACACTGGGTCTCAAGTTCACTTTTTTTTGTTGGTGGTGGTGGGGCAGGGAGTTCACTTTTACTAAAGAGACAAGTATAAGGCAGATAAATGACTCATAGGGGAAGTTCAAAGTTAAGGAAAAGAGGCTTCTGGTTGGGTGATCAGGGATTAGGAAAGTGTGGGGACATATTTGGAGATAACTGTTCTGCCTACTACACATTATTTTAAAACAACAATAACAAGTCTTTTACACTTTAACACATTTTTAATGAAAACTAACTATTCCAAGATTTAGAAAAAGATTAGTGAGTGGCATTAATCTTTTTGCAAATCTCTTTAATATCTGGATTAATAGAAAGATAGATTCTGAAATTTGCTAATGCATTCAATCTATTGCATTATCTGGATAACTCTACAAAATAATGAAAACAGCAAATAATCTTAATATTATGAAGCTGGTTTTCATTTTATGGAATGGTCTGAAAATCTTTCTGAAAAAGTCTAAGGCTCCCCTGGGGGTCCCAGATCACTCTTTTGAGAACCACTGAGATGGTTATCCTTCAGTTTCTCTAGATTATAGGGCATCTAAGTGGGTGATGAGCTTGGACTGCTATTGTTGCTGTCTTTACAGTTTATTTTTAAAAAATTCTCATTCAAGGACATGTTTTCCATTGATTTTTAGGGAGTGTGGAAGGGAGAGACAGAGACAGAGAGAAACACTGAAATGAGAGAGGACACATCTATTGATTGCCTCCCAAATAGTCCCAACCAGGGGAGGGAGCCTGCAACCGAGGTATATGCCCTTAACCGGAATTGAACCTAGAACCCTTCAGTTCGTAGGCTGACGCTCTATCCACTGAACAAAACCAGCAAGGGCTATTGCTACTGTCTTGATTTCATACATACAGCAGCCGCTATGAGCTGAGAAACACTGCATACACTGGAAAAGTACTGAGACATTTCATAAAGGTGCTTTTAATTGGCAGTGGGAGTCACTGCAGTTTTTGAACAGGAATGTGATTTAAATTTGAGTTGCTTTAGGAGAATGCATTTTAAAAAACACCAAATCATAAATTGCAAGTGGAGAATGAGGATTAAGGACTTTGTTATATGAGAGGTTAGGAAACTAATCTTATATAATAAAAGAGTAGGATGCAAATTGTCTGGGAGTTCAACCAGGGGGCAGGGCCCACCAGCAGGCACTAGGGACCTTATCAGTACACAAATTTCATGCACTGGGCCTCTAGCAGAAAATAATTTTGGAATTTGAGATCTTACACTTGATCTTAGCCAAAAGGCCGAGAAGCGATGGAATTTGAGATCTTGAAGTTAAAGTTGCTAATGATGTTCAGGCTTAAGGTATGGCTATGCCATTCATGGCTGGAGCAGACTGAAATTGCTTATTGGCCATGAGAGGTTTATGGCCAAGATGTTAAAAAAGTCATTACAGTGCCATCTTCCAACATGACAACAGTGGGCAGAAATGGGGTGGGGAAACCAGTTTAATTGTTAAAATTACTAAGTAAGATAGACTGTTCTGGAGGCCATTAGGTGATGGTGATATGGAGGGTATAATGACTAAAGTACATAGAACATATACAAAATTAAGTAATTATATAGTTAATTTTCAAATCTATTTTCCCATTTTCCATATGGAATTAGTAACCTTGTATACGTCTAGGGAGAACATCATGCTATAATAAATTACCTATTTAAGATTTGACAGTACTTTGCAAGCACAATTGATGTACAGTTATTTCATTCCTGTGATATTGTACTAATAGTACTGAATACTGTGTTCAATATGTTATACCTTGATTATAGCCTCAGTGAAGTGTACTTTGACCTCCTTATCTTCCCAACCCATCCCACAGGTTGCGGCCAAATTAACTTTCTTTTTAAATTTTTTTTTTATTTTAAATATATTTTATTGATTTTTCACAGAGAGGAAGGGAGAGAGAGAGCTAGAAACGTCGATGAGAGAGAAACATCGACCAGCTGCCTCCTGCACACCCCCCACCGGGGATGTGCCCGCAACCAATGTACATGCCCTAGACCGGAATCGAACCTGGGACCCTTCAGTCCACAGACCGATGCTCCATCACTGAGCCAAACCGGTTTCGGCCAAATTAACTTTCTATACTAAAAACTTGCGCTGTTTAATCTGGAAGGAGTAGCTGTGAACCCGAAGAATCTGTGTTCCGATCCCCCCACTCTGCCAGTTGTCAAGTGAACGACACATGATGCCCAAAGGTCTCTCCGGTGTGCTTCCCCAGCCTCCCGCAACCAGGAAGCCTCCAGAAGAACTGTCAAACGAAACCAATGCCTCCAGCCAAGACAACACCGATTTTTAATATATATATATATATATATATATATATATATATATATATATATATGTATATATATTATTGATTTTATACAGAGAGGAAGGGAGAGAGATAGAGAGTTAGAAACATCGATGAGAGAGAGTCATCGATCAGCTGCCTCTTGCACACCCCCCACTGGGGCTATGCCCGCAACCAAGGAACATGCCCTTGACTGGAATCGAACCCGGGACCCTTCAGTCCCCAAGCCAACACTCTATCCATTGAGCCAAACCAGTTTCGGCGACAACACCGATTTGGCCACGTCGACTCCTGTCTACGAAACATCCATCGGACAGAGACGGCTGAGATGCTTCCTTTACTGAATTCTCCGTGGAGTCACGCCCATTCGTTTTCCGAGAGGACCGAAGCCTGAGTTTCAGATGCCCTTCCCAGCCTCCCGTTCACCTAGTAACCCCGGAATCGGGAAGCCGACCGGAACCCAAAGCGCGACCCGGAAAAAGAAGCCGTCCTTTCCGCCGAGGGCGGGCCCACCCACTTAGAGCTGCCGGGGCGGGGAGGGAAAAGGAGGCTGCGCGTGCGCGGTGGCGTCGGTGCCCTCCGGTACGCCGGCGCGGGGAGGCGGCGCGGACGCACGCACACACACGCACGCACGCCGGCCTCTCCTACTCGCGCCGCTCCCGCAGCTCCAGCGTCCCCTAGCCGCGCTGACCATCCGTCCGAGATGCTGCGGGTCTGTCATTTATCTGGCGTGACCTCCGCCGCCCAGGTGAGCGCGAGGGTGCGAGGGTGTGGGAGAGCGCGCGTGACGAAGCTAAGGGCAGACAACGGAAAATGGGAGAGGCTTTTGCGCTGCCTCGGCCCCGGGACGGAGGCGTGTCTCAAGGCCGCCCTCCTCGCAGGAGTCTCAGGCGGGCCTGTCAGGCGGTTAATTCGGGAGTTCGCCGGGCAGGGATGCTTTGGGAGTTATTGCTGGAGCCGGATGGGGTGTGGAAAAGAGAAGGTGGCGGGGAGGAGGCGGGCTCAGGGCGGGAGGCTCGGCTTCGGGACGTATGGTCCTATCAGCCCTGCGCTGCCCCATTCACGGACCAATCGTGGCTCCTGGCGCCCGGGTCGCCGGTTGTGCGAGGGATGGTTTCGCGCTGCCAGTGGTTGAAGGTCGAGGAGGGAGAACTACAGTTCCCAGCAGGAAATGCGGAGCAGAGCCTTAGCTTGTTGCATTTTAAAATAAGGAGGTGCTTGCACTGCTAAGAGTCCGCGTTTTCGGGGTCAAGGTTGTGATTATTCGGGAGGGACTTATTTTTTCGTCCCTGAGTGACATCTTGGTCCACCTCTGAACTATTCTTAAGCCTGAACAAAAAAGAAAAGATTGTAGTTTATGGAGTTCAAACTCTTGGTACTTGAGGAAGGACAGGAGTCATGACCTTGTGCTCATTTCTGAGATTAGCCTGGGGTTCTGAGTCTCACAGGTGCTGGGACTACTCTGGCAGACATCCAAGGAGCCTAGATACCCAGTTAGATCTATTTCGTCATAATTATCAAAGTAACTTTCTAAAATCAAAAAGTAAACCTATTTCCGTTGAGCACAACTTTCAGAATATTGACATTTTGGCAAAATGTTGTATTGCAAAAACAGGTGCTGTGGTTCAAGCAGTAATAGAAAACATCCCTAGAAGCCAAACTTTACCCCCGCCCCCACCCCAAGTTTGCTTAATCTCCCCATGCGTAGTTAGGGTAGGAGAAGCAGCCTCTTCCAGGTTATCAGGAGCGTCTCTCGTTGACTTCTATAGGAAAATAGTGTCTGTATTAGTTTTCCTTTCTTTTTTTCTTTTTCTTTTTCTTTTTGTGTGTGTGTATATTAGTTTTTTATTGCTACGTTACAAATACCACAAATTTAGCAGCTTAAAACAACACCCATTGATTATCTTAGCTTCTGGCCATGGATGATTTGGGGTTCTCTGCTCAGTGTCACACAAGGTTACAATCGAGGTGTTGGCTCTTCTGTGGTTCTCATTTGGAGTTCAGGGTTCTCTTTCAAGCTCATGCAGTTTGTTGGCAGAATTTACTTAGTCCCTTGCAATTGTAAGACTGAAGTCGCTGTATTCTTGCTAGCTCCCACCTAGCCTCTCCTAGAGGCTGTTTGAAGCTTCTTACCGTAGGATCCTAGAGACAGTTCATAACACGGATGTTTGCTATTTGGCACGCTGTCAGGAGCTCTCTTGTTGACTACAAAAACATCAACTTCATTTTTGACCTCTAGACCCCGATTTAAAGGGTTTCTATTAGTAGACCAGGCCCACCTGTAAAACCTCCCTTTAGATTAACTCCAGTTAACTGATTAGTAACCTGAGTTGCATCTGAAAAATTCCCTTTGCCACACAGCCAATCCTAATTTTGGGCTTAACAGCATGGGGTGGAGATCAAGGGGGCCACCTTGGAGTCCCACCTCACATAGTACCCAGGAGGGGCTGGAGGATGAAGACTGTAGAGCTACCTCTGAGGGCAGAATTGTTAAAAGTTTGTCTTTGGAGCCCTCCTTTCATGGCACACTTTTCCTTATTCTGTGCTCAGATTACATCCTGGTTGTCACTGATCTGTCCCCTCTATCCTGCTCTGTCCTGAAGTCCAAAATTACATGTTTTTTTTTTTTTTTTTTTTTTTTCCCCCGTATACTCCCAAGGTTCATTTGTTCTTTCTCTGTCTCTCTTTTTACTTAAGATTTAATTTATTAGAATAGTTTTAGGTTCACAGGAATATTGAGGGGAAAGTACAGACATTTCCCATAAACCCATGTCTGCACCTAGACATCCGCTCCCCCTCCCCATTATCAACATCTACCAGAGTGGTACACTCGTTACACCTGATGAAACTACATTGGCTTATCATAATCGCCCAAACTCCATAGTTTATCTTAGGTTTACTTTTGGTGTACATTCTGTGGGTTTAAACAATATGTGATGACATTATCCATCATTGTGGCATGATAGATTGTATTTTCATCCTCCTAAAATCCTGCCTTCTACCTATTTATCACTCTCCTACCCTAAGCCCTTTGCCCTGGGAACCACTGATTTTTTAAAAATATATTTATATTGATTTCAGAGAGGAAGGGAGGAGAGAGAGAGAAAAACATCAGCGATGAGAAAGAACCTTTGATCAGCTATCTCCTGCATGTCCTTTACTGGGATTTGAGCCAAAAACCCGGGCATGTGCCTTAACCAGGAATTGAACCGTGATCTCCTGGTTCATAGGTAGATAGATGCTCAACCACTGAGCCATGCCGGCTGGGCAGGGAACTATTGTTCCTTTAACTGATTCCATAGTTTTGCCTTTTCCAGAATGTCAGCTAGATGGAATCATACAGTGAATAGGCTTTTCAGATTGACTTCTTTTACTTAGTAATATGCATTTAACGTTTTCCCATGGCTTGAGAGCTTGTATATTTTTAGCGCTGAACAATATTCCATTATCTGGATATACCACAGTTTATCCTCTCACCTACTGAAGGACATCATGGTTGCTTCCAAGTTTTGTCAATTATAAACAAAGTTGCTCTAAACATTCCTGTGCAGGTTTTTGTGTGGACATGTTTTCAGTTCCTTTGGGTAAATACCAGGGAGTGTGATTGCTGGATTGTATGGTTAGGGTATGTTTAGTTTTGTAAGAAACTTCCAAACTATCTTCTAAAGTGGCTATATCATTTTGCATCCAGGAGCAGTGAAAGAGAGTTAAAAAAAATAACATTGATTTTTTTACACAGAGGAAGGGAGAGAGATAGAGAGATAGAAACATTGATGAGAGAGAAACATCGATCAGCTGCCTCCTGCATACCCCCTACTGGGGATGTGCCCACAATCAAGGTACATGCCGGCGCTCTATCCACTGAGCCAAACTGGGTTCAGCATGAAAGAAAGTTCTTGTTGCTCCAACTCCGTGCCAGCATTCGTCGTGTCAGTGTTCAGGATGTTGGTCATTCTGATAGGTGTGTAGTGATAACTTATTCCATCTCTTTATTTGTTATTACTTGGGATTACATCAATTCTCAGAACTTTAATCCCTAAGCAGATGATTTTGATTTTTGTACCCCAATTTAAATCTTGTTTTATTTTTGTCAACTTTGAGAACAACTACTTGTCAAAATTCTTTTTAAAAAAAATATATTTTATTGATTTTTTTACAGAAAGGAAGAAGAGAGAGGGATAGAGAGTTAAAAACATTGATGAGAGAGAATCATCGACCAGCTGCCTCTTGCACACCCCCTACTGGGGATGTGCCTGCAACCAAGGTACATGCCCTTGACCAGAATCGAACCTGGGACCTTTCAGTCCGCAGGCCAACGCTCTCTCCACTGAGCCAAACCGGTTTTGGCTCCATTGATCTTTAGAGAGAGAGTGGAAGGGAGAGAGAAGGAGGGGAAGAAAGACAGACAGACAGACAGACAGACTTCGATGAGGGAGACACATTGCCTGGTTGCCTCTCGAATGCACCCAGACTGGGGCCAGGAATTGAACCTGCAACTGAGTACCCGTCTTGACTGGGAATAGAACCTGCCATCCTTTGGACTGCTGGCCAATATCTCACCACTGAGCAACTGGCTGGGGCCCAACTGGTGACCTCTTAGTTAATGGGGCTATTCTCAACCAACTGAGCCACAGCATCTAGGTTAAAATGGTGATTTTGTAAGTGAATTGTACTACATACAGGGAAAAAAACTTGCACTAGGTATTTGCAGATGGCTTGAGGTATAGAGACTGAACACATTTACATTCATTCATTCTCTCTTTTCTCTCTCTTTCTCTCTCTCTCTTTATACACACACACACACACACACACACACACACACACACTGAGTGGCCAGATTATTATGATCTCTGAAAGCATAATAATCTGTCCACTCAGTATACTGTATAATAATCCTATATAATAAAAGGTTAATATGCAAATTGTCCCCTTGACCAGGAGTTCGACCAGCAGGCAGGCCAGCCAACCACCCATGTACTTTTCCCCTGGCCAGGCTGGTTGGACCCCACCCATGCACAAATTCATGCACCAGGTCTGTAATATAAAAAGATAATATATATTGAAGTGGCATTAATTGGCCAAAGATGGGACAACTTAAGTTTTTAAAAGGATACTAATTACAATTGGTTAAAATCCACCAGAAGTGTTTCAATTCATGAATTCATAAAGATAGTGTTCTGATTAGCTATAGCTACATTAACTAAGTAAAATAACATTATTTGTAAGTTCTGGGGGTTGCCTGGGATCAGCTGGGCTCAGTGGCCCTCATGAGGTTGTAGTCAGGCAGTGCTGGGGATGGAGTAATC